ATATATATTATAGTCGGTGAAACTCCGACGAAACAGTTTGTCACAGCCCCTCGTTTGTTGTCCTCTTCTCCCTCTCTGCCTACGGTTTACCGGGCAGTTCTATTTGACGATATATATATATTCTGTTTGTGACGATATATAAGGGGAATGTACTAGAACAGGAATTGTTCTGTTTGTTGTACACTTTCCTGTATCCAGGATCACCAGCCCGTACGTACGGAGGTCCCCGGGTCGACCTCCGTACGTACGGGCGTTCCGGGTCCCGTTCGGGGTCCCAACCTGACGGCATTCGGTCCCCGCCAAAAATTATTTCGGCGCCTGAAAATAGTTTTTTTTTCTGATTTTTTTTTTTTGTGAGTTCTCTATGATGTGAGGTACATGGCTATAAATTTTGAAGTCATTTGCTAAGCCAAACAAAAGTTAAAAATCGTCAAAGACGGCGGTGTCAAAACGTGTTCGCCCACACACTATTTTTGTTTTTTTTCACTTTCAGCTTTTTTTTTTCACTTTATTGCGCAGCCTAAAAAAAATTATTATTTTTTAAAACTTTTTTAACGAGTTTCTTATTATGTGAAGTACACATCTGTAAATTTTCAGGGCATTTGGCTATGCCAACCAAAAATGAAAAATCGCCAAAGATGGCATTGTCGAAAATGTGCTCGCTCACTCACTAATTTTAATTCTACTTTTTTTTTTTTTTTAATCATTAGTTTTATTTTCTGTATTTTATTTCTATTTCAAATTTGGTAAGGAATTTCGATCTAATGCTCAGGGGTGTGGTCCCATTAGCAGTCGGATAGGAATGTGGCATGTGGCCGATCCAGTGTGACACTGAGTGGCAGCGGCCTGACAGGTTCATTACGAATTTCTGGGATGAGAAAACTGGAGAAAAGAAAAAAAAAGAAAAAAGAAACAGAGACCTCCCACCTGAAATCACGGCAGAGTGCTTCCCAGCCATCAGATCACAAATGATCTGATTTTGGTGGTTGCAACAACAGTGCAGAAAGTAACTGCCACATTTTCTGGAATAAACTCAACTTCTGTTAGCAGTGATCCTGACGCCCTCCATATACTCTGTGATTGAAGGAGGGCTCCACCCAATGAGATAATTGCACAACAGCAAGCAAAATACTGAAAATCTTCTATCCAGTGGGCCTATGGCCGACCCCACTCTCTTTTAGGGTTGGCCATGCCCCAATGGATTGAAAAGATTTTGGCGGGAAGCTTCCTCTGCACCGGCATGCCCAGTGTTAAGGAGACGAGGAGGGGAACCAAGATCTCCTTAGTTTTTCGGGTAATACATGTAAAATACTGACCATGGGATCACCAGTACTGCACGGCAGGATTTGGGTCACTCCACTGCCACACAAACTCTTTTCTATCCTATCCGGTTGCTAGTGGGACCATGCCCCAGGCGAATGTTGTTTATTTTATTTTTCTTCATAACAT